TTTTAAAAAGTATATTTCAAAAATAATTTATATGAATAACTATTTAAAATGATTTCAACTTTATTGATCTTTTAAAAATTTAATAATAAATGATAAAATATTTAAAATAATATTTTATAAAATATTATTTAAACTAATCTTTTTAAAAAATATTTGTATATTTTTTAATAAAAATATATAATATTATAAAAAAATTATTAAAAAAAGCTAAAGAATTATATGAAACATTGGTTAAATTATTATTATTTTTTAAATAAAATTTATATGAATATTTTATAAGGATGACAATTAGACTCTACCCACAGTAAGAGCAACTTTAGTGCAGGGTTGTTAAACCAAAATTCTTTATAGCTTACGTTAGTAATAAGGAATTTGCATTATAGTAGTGCTGACATGGCATATGGGATGCTCTAAAATTAGTTTACGTGCTCTACACAAGCAACGTACTCTAACTCATTATTTAACATAAATAATAAATTTTTATTAATTATTTAACATAAATAATAGATTTTTATTAACCATTTAATACCATGTGGGGTCAAGTTTTGGTTTCTTATAGACAACCACCATTAAAGTAAAAACTACTCAAATCAACTATAAATTTTTTAAATCCTACAAATCACTTTGGTCCCACAAAAAGTATCTTAGTTTACCCATTTAGTTTACTCCCACTAAAGATGCTCTAAGTAGGGTGAAAAATCACAAAATGGATACGGATATAAGCACGGACAATTATTCATTAAAATAAGCGAATATACACGGGTATGAATTCTTAATACCCAGCATATCCCCATAATATATGTTTATATATTTTTATATTTATTATTACACATAGGCCTATCACTTTTATTATACCCCATAATATATGTTTATATATTTTTATATTTATTATTACACATAGGCTTATCACTTTTATTAAATTCATCATTATTGAATTAGTACGTATTTTGATATAAGTGGTTGTTTATATTTTAACTCAATAATAATATTTTTGAATTTTTTGTAATATTGTTAAAAACTTAAAATGACATGATAAATTAAAAATGGATCAATATTTTTATTGAAAATGTAGGTAAACAAGTATGGGTATGCTACGAGTACGGTTAAAAACCTTAGTACTCATGCGAGTATGAGTTTGGGTACGAGGATTTTTTCAAACCACGGTATGGGGATGAATACTATAATACCCTGCCCAAACTATATCAATTTTCATCTCTACTATTTTAGTTAAAAGACTATTCTGATTTACATGTTAAATGGTAGACAATTATATTTATTTTTAAAAGATCAAAAGATTGTTCGTAATAAAGGACTACTTTGATATAAACAAGTGATGGGGACAAATATTTGGTCCAGTAGAAGGAAGTTAAGAAGATAAAATCAGCAATTGAGATCAACATCAAGATTTCAATGGCACTTGAAGGGAAATCGTGATCCAAAAAGCATCAGAAATTAAAATGTTCCCTTTAGTGATCCTTATGAATGGTCATGATCAATGATAGAAACAATTATCTTGTGGCGATGAAACCTTTGATGTTGAATCAAATGAGTGATCACGAGCGTTGAACGATGAACAACGCTTCTACTCAGTCCACACGAATAGATTCCTTCAGTCTCAGTGATAGTTGCTATGATTGAAGGCTTTGAGTGCGTGTGTGTGTGTGTGTGTGTGTGTGTGTGTGTGTGTGTGTGAGGGGGAGAAAGAGAGAAGAAAATACGGTTAGGGTTTCACAGTCCGAATTTTCATCAAGAGCGAATGCTTCTACACAAGTGTTCTATTTATAGAACCACTTGTGTGGGCTGCAACCTAAAAAGCCCACTTAAGTGCACGTGTACCATATCTTATGATGTACCGTATATCACTTAAATGTGTGGTCCCTTACCATATTATGTATTCTACTTAATTGCACTGTACCTTACGATGATATATATTTACTTAAGTGCATTGTACCTTACGATGTTCCTTATTTACTCCACCTCTTATGAATATGTCCTTATGTGTGTGACCCTATAGGTTTTCGTGACGTTGACAATTATATCAAATCACACATTTAACATAATAAAGAGTGAGTGGTGTCTAGTAATATATCACTGCTACCCAAGTCACGAAAATGTTATGTGATCTGACAAAACCTTTTGTGATAATACTTATGTGTACAATTACCTTTTTGCCCTTATGTCTATATTGAATGCAAGGAATATACAGTGTCATCCTTTTCTAGTTCAATATTGGGCCCTTAGACATTTATCCTGTTATGCAGGATGGGCAAATTCCATCTAGGTCACTCATGTCCCTGAACATGCTTTGTAAAGTACCCATAAAGTGAATTTATGGCCATCCGATTACTGACAATGTTAGATTAACAATAAAGTACTCGACTATACATCTAGGATCCATAGTGGTTTTAGGTCGAAGGGTGGTATACACCACTATTACCATGAGAGTAACTTATGACACTTTGCATAACATTCTATGAAGTACTCTCATAACGGGTCAATCCAGTATAAATATTACTCCTAATATTTGTACATATGTTAAGACTTGATAACTCGTTATCCACGATCCATGAGATGTGATCATCAGTCTATCTACATAATAGTCTTAATGCTTTAAGGTTATCCCACTTCACATTAAAGCTCGACTACTTATACTTTAAGAATAATGTCCTTATGTTTAATGGGATCTCAAGATTAAGTCACACTTAATATTTCATTAAACGAACTAGCTATTATCAGGACTTTATTATTTTGAAAAAACAAATATAATAAAGAAATGTCTTTTATTACTAATAAATAATTCGATACAAGTACCAAAAGTATTGGCCTCTGAGGCTTACACCAATAGCACTTGTATACACTCGAGTACTTTAAGTGGCATCGTTGCTCCCTAATCTACGGACCTAGAGCCACGTGTAAGAGTGGCACTATGAAACATTTCAGTGATAAGACAGACATTTAAGGCACATGTTCACGAGACCACCTACTCCCATTCATCAAACTTTTTCGTTTCCCCTTCCATAAGTCAAAGACCTACCCAAGAAACTCAAGACAAATTTGTCACTGCCATCATCAAAACTCCTCATAGAATCATAAATATCACTAATCTCTATAAAATTCACATGAGGAAGTATCACCACTAAAGGAACCACTTTCGATACCTCAAGGTTAATCACTCTAGTGTCCGAAGAAGCATGACTTATATCATCCATACTAGACAAGTCCACATAATTCACGTTTGAGTTACCTAAGTTGGTCATGGCTAAAGCAAAGAATGGAAACAATAATAACAAGTAAATAGAGAAATATCACCTTGCAATGGTGGATGTGAACGAGATGCATTGGAAATCACCAAAAACTTAAAAACAATGATGGAATGCAAGATCGAGATATAAGAAATTGATAAACACGTCAATGTATTGTATGAACTCAAGAAATGTACGAAGGGCATACTGTTTGGATGAAGAGACGAAAAGATCACTTGTAACAATGGATCGTCTTTATATAAGCAAGATAAGAGGACAAATCTACAGTGCAAAGTAGAAGAAAGTTTAGAAGATAAAATCATTGATTGATATCAACCTCGAGATTGCAACAACAATTGAGTATACTCAAGTACTTTAAGCTACAAAACATTTTTGAGACAATATAGAAATTTAATGTCCATGTTCATGAATCATGAGGCCACTTACTCCCACTCGTTAGACTCTTCTGCTTCCTTTTCCGTAAGTTGAAAACCTACCCGAGAAACTTAAGATGGCAGTGAAGAGCAACTCTGGTGATACAATCCTCGTTTCACCAATGGTACCAATGACTTGATGACAATTCTTATGGGCCGATCAAAAGTCTAATAGAGAATGCCCAATTATGAAGGCCCAACCCAACTTGTTATCCCATGACATCAGCCACACGGAACCTCATCAAAGAGTTGGACACCTGATATCATTTCCACTTAATAAAAATCTAAAACCCTTCGTTCCTTATTAAATGTCACTTTCTTAATAACTTTTTGCTCCTTTTTAATTGTCAAGTTCAATGTAATATTAATTGCACTTTTGTCAAAATTATCCCAAAGTAATCATTACAAAGAGAGATAAAATAAAATAAATGAAGTAAATAATTAAGAGTACTATAAGTAAAAGGAGAACTATTGTTTGAAAAGTAATAATATTTATTAGCTTATATGTGTAAAGAGTAAAAATAATAATAATAATAATAATAACATTTAAAGAGGAAGATACGGAGTAAACAACTTTCATGGTCAACCTCCAACACATGAAACCAAATTGATTATCAGCAATTTAAATCTCTTTTCTTAACCTTTTTTCCATTACTATCACCCAAACTCATAGCTTTACTCATAAGTGATTATGAGAAATGGGAAAATCTCCTCACTGTTGTTTTACAATAATGTTATCTGGTTAGAGTCAATCTTTGTGTTACCAAATCTATCTTATGTACGACTTTTACAACATAAATCAGTCCTATACCTAGGCCCAATAAATGTAAGATGTGGGATACCATAAGATGTTACTTCATGGCAAAGACTTCAATTACAGTGAATTAGCATCAAATAATTAAACAAACACATTTAAAAATGTATAGTACAGCTTTAGCAGTCACTCTCTGGTATAAACTACATAAGACAGATGACACAAATATGAAAGGATGAAGAGCCTTTAGTTTATGTGACAACAATTTCACACTACAATATCATATCTCGTTTGATAATATGCCCTTTAATAATGCATTATTAGTTTAAAAAACATATCCAGAAATAGGAAAGTCGAAAAAAGGATATTCAAGAAACTTATCAGTATAAAATGAATCAACTCAATGAGTAAGCAACATCAGTTGCATTGTATGTCTCTCTAAGATATCAGATGAAGAACCCTATGTCAAAAGGCCTCAAGATTACATAGAAATGAAAAGTGTCAACATGAGCCACAGTCTTCCATTAATTGGAAATGCTACTAGAATCAGCTAACTGCCGATCAACACTGTCATAAAGGCATGGAAATACCTGTAAAATATACAAACAGAAGCATTGCAATAAGTTATTTCCTTTTAGATATTATAATTGGTACCTCGATTTAGATACAAAATGTGCTATGGGCAATTATCTTACGAACTGTGTGCTAAAATAAACTCTTGATAAATATATGGTGTCACAACTCACAAACTCACAGTAACATAAAGGCACTAAATTTTAGGAAATACTGGATCTGTCATCCAGTATGCATATTCAAAAAATGTGTAAATTGAATTCTTCAATGCTGAATATTTTCAATGAAAATGAAAACAGAAACTAAGTGAAACAAACATTCGCTAATATATTTAATTTTGGTGTTACAATACACAATTTTATGCAATCACTAAAAAAAATGTTTATATTTGTCATTTTACAGCATTGAGTATGCTAGCAAAACTTCATTAAAATAATGCCAAATCATTTCTTACGAATTTTTTGAGCTATAACCGAACTATCAGTGTTATTCACAAACCCTCACTAACTATTTGGGTTTGGCCCTATCCCATGATAAAATAGGGACAAAGGCTTCAAATGAAAATGATATGACCACTTACTATCCCATTGTTCCAGGCTTTAGCACACCATTTTCTTCATAAAAAACATGGAATATATTCTTTTGCATCTAAGTAAAAATACTATCTACCACAAACATAAATACTACTTTAGATATTCATGTTCGGATCATAAGAGAAGTTATTAAACTAGATATTGAGATTAACGATTTGGAAAGAAGCATGGTCCTAGATAGAACATTACAGCAAAAGTTATCCATGTAGTCGACCCCACTTAGTGGGATAAGGCTTGGTCCTTGTTGTTGTATTCTTGTTCTAATCATATGGGAAAGACATGTTCCATAAATTCTTCTATACAATGAAGCCTAACCTATGCTCCTAGTAGTGTTGTCAATGGTGGATGGCAGAAGGCTAAAAAATCACGACATAAACACACCATTGTGGCCTATGACACCACCATGGCGAGCCTCCCTTCACAAATTGCCTATGGCACTTGTCAAAAAATCCACCAATGCCATACCTAGCCTAACCGCTATTTAACAACACTGCCATACAATTCAAACAGCATTTTCAATCATTCAAACCCATGTCTTCTCGAAAGACTAATTGTAGCTACCTTAGTAATCTATCCTAGTCATAATTCAGTTCAAATTCTTATAGCAAAGAAAAAACTAAACTAGATGTCAAATATTTACTCTCCAAAATGATAAACAAATACAAAATGAACTGTGTTATATCAAAATCAAAATGCAAACATTTAAAATGAATAAAAGAGAAAGAAAAAACGCACCTTGAGGAACTAAACCCCAACCAAGAGATTCAATGGACAAGCTTGAAACTAATCGAGCAGAAGCAACGGCGCTATACAACGGCAACATTGATTCCAAGCTACCCAACTCCACCGGTAACCTAATAAACCAAATTGAAGAAAAATTATGATAATAAAATTTAGGTTATTGAAAAATGAAGGGTTTTAGGTTAGAGAGAAAGGGGATTCTGACCGTGAAGTGAGAGAGACGCGTGGAAGAGTTGCAGATTGAAGTTTGGGTTTGAGATGAGAGGAGAGTGGTGGTGGTTTTGTAAGGAGAGAGTGTAATCGAGATGTTAACCTAGAGAAAGCCTTAGACGACGACGTTGCCATTGTAATTCTTGTTCAGCTCACCTCCAAAGTAGGACCTTGACCTTGGAGACACAACTAAAATTCTTTTTTCATTTTTTTATATATTTTAAAATCTTATAAATCTAAACACATTTTGTTTTTGTTTTTATTACATAGAAAAAGAAAGGCAAAAGAGTTTATTTCTTATACAAAACATTCACATGAATATATGATTGTAGATGTAACTGTTTATTTTATAATTTTGATAATGACAATACAATAGGTCTATATGAAATTATCTTCGGTTAGGAAGAATCAATGATCAAGATGATCTTTGAAAATTAAGATGTCAAAGTCAAATTTAATGATGACAACACTTATTGTTACACAATGTTCAATGATGTTTATGATGATCTTTTGTCCGACAATCTTTCATGATGATGCCTAATCAAAGAAGTAATATCAAAGTCTCATTAATTAGAATAGTCAAGTCTATGATGAAGTGTTTAATTAATGATGAATCCAAAAAGGGATCTTGAAGGTTCGAAATTGTGAAAGAGATGAAGTGTGAAAGTTCGTCTGGTATTATATTTGAGTGATTAGTGCAATGTAAAAATATAAGAGTAACTCTTGAGATATTAGGGCAGACACACACATTTAAATGTGTTTTCAAGCCTCTCTTTTTTATATAACACCTAAAATTATTTATATGCACATAAGTAATCAATCATTGACTTACTTAATCAGTTAGGAGTGTTTTTTGCACTAGTTAATCAATTAACACACTAGCGTTAATCAATTAACTAATTTGTAACACATTCAATTCGATCAATTAGTGATGATATAATTCAAAAACTTTTCTTACTTAGCTTGTTTAATCGATTAACAACTAGGGTTAGTCAATTAAAACATTAAAAAAGCTCATGGATGTTTTTCTTTTTAAGTCATTTTTTTCCTATAAATAAAGAACTTCACATCATTTTCATTTTACACCAGAAAATAATTTTTGAACTATTATTTTCTCACTTTCAACTGTTTTCTACTTCATCTTTTTCTATTTTTCATTAAAGTTATCTTAGTTCTTTAAGAGTGAAAAATACCAGTGAGAGTTGTATTTAAAAGAAGTTGTTGTTTGGTTCTTGATATTGATTTGTTAAAATTTTTGTATGGTTCTTGAGATCAGCCTATTAAAATATATTGTTTGGTTCGGAGATTAGCCTGTTAAAATCTCTTGCTTGGTTTGGAGATTACCTTGTTAAAATCTCTTGTTTGGTTTGAGATTATCCTATTGAAATCTCTTGTTTGGTTTGTGGAATTATCCTTTGAAATTTTCCATTTGTTGTAAGGTTTATAGACATAAATTGTAAAAACTCACATCTTTAATGGGACTCTCAGAGAGAAAATCTTGTAGACAAGAGTCTGCCAAATAGTTAGATTAAATATGTATAAATCTCTCCATACTATATTTCCCTTATCTTTTTGTTTTCCACTATTTTATTTTCTTTATGCTTTATATCTTTCTCTTCTTATTTCTTTCTTTCTTTCTCTCTTCCGTTTTGCTACTTAATCTCTATTTAACTAATAAAATTAACTTAAAGTTTGTTATAAATCTTTTTGTTTATGATTGGATAACATTTTTCAACCAACACAATTCATCCCTTCTTTTGTTTGGAGTCACTTGGTCAACAAGTGACATTAGACCTTAACTCATATTATATGACTAATTGTCTCAGAAGATAGCATATGACTATTGAAGTGGAATCTAATTGAGTTAGAATTTAATTTAAGTTTCATTTGAGTTTAATTTGAATTGTATTTATCTTGAATGTGTATATAAGTAGAAGTCAAGCTTTAGCTAACAAAGAAGAACAAAAGGAACAATTGTAATCATTTTCAATTAAGAAGTTAGTTACAACTTTTATCTCTTTTATCTATCTTCATCATATTCATCTTCTTCCTTCTTGTGCACCAACAATTGTTATCTAGAGCTCTGGTTCGGATCCACGGGAAATATCAAGGGAAATACAAGTGAACGTGATGTGTGTGTAATTGATTTAGTTTCTTAAATTCATGTCAAATTTACAATCAAAATCGTAACAGAATCACATTTATTGATTCTGCGAGATTAGGAAACACGAGTGTTTGGTGAGATCTGAGTGAATTTTGCATAATATCGAAGATGAACGATGGAAACAGTAGCTTGAACACAAAAATTCCAGTCTTTGACGGAAAGAATTAAAATTGGTGTATGATTTAGATGTATGTGTTGTTTGGCGCTTAAGATGTTCTAGATCTCGTCAATGATGGTTATGCAACGATTGTAGTATATGCAATTGAAGCACAGAGAAACATGTATAAAGAGATGAGAAAGAAGGATTAGAAAGCTCTGTTCTACATCCATTAATGTATCGATGTGAATGTGTTTGAGAAGATCACTTATTTGACAACGGTGAAGGCTACATGAGACACACTTGCACAATGCTACGATGGTGATGCATTGGTGAAGAAGGCGAAGCTTCAGTCTCTATGTAAGCAATATGAGAATCTCAACATAGAACAATGAGAAGGTGCCTGATTACATCTCTAGAGTAATTATGATCGCAAATGAGAGGAAATTTTGTGGAGAGACTTTGTATAAATAAGTAATCATTGAAAAGGTATTGAGATGACTTACTCCTCGGTTTGATTACATTATTATATAAATTGAACATTTTAAGGATCTGAGCACCATGAAAATTGAAGAGTTGCAAAGTAATCTAGAGGCAGAGGAGTTGCGTCTAATTGATAGAACCTCTGAAATAGAGGTAGAGCAGGCTCTGAAGGCATCTTCTGGTAAGAAGAATCAGAAGTAGTGTTAGTCAGAGATCAGAAAGAAATATGGTGGTGGTTATCAAAAGTCATAAGTTTCCAACTCTGATGAGAAGAAACATCAGAAGGGAAATGAGGAGTTTAACAGGAAGAAAATTTAATGTTATTGTTGTAAGAAGTTTGGTCACTTTATTGCTGACTATTGGTCAAACAAGGAAAAGAAATCAAAAGAAATAAGCATAGCCAGAGGATAGTCTGATGATGAACATGTTCTATTTATGACTTCTGAATCTTATGATGGATATTTGGTAGACTGGTGGTATATGGACACTGGTTGCCCAAATCACCTGACTGGAAACAAACAATGGCTGATAGATTTTGACTCTAGAAAAAGGACAAAGATCATATATGTTGATGATAAGTTTTTGAATGCTGAAGGAATGAGAAATGTCAAGGTCAGAGTGAATAATGGAAAAAAATTTTGATCAAGGATGTTTGGTACATTCCTGGCATGAAGAGAAATTTGATGAGCATAAGTCAGCTAATTGAGAAAGGTTTCTTAGTTACTAACCTGTAACACCCCAAATTTATTTAGAATATCTATTTAATTCATTTAAATAGAAATATTTGTATTTTTGGTGATTTGCGATGGTTGGTATGAAGTATTGAGAATTATGAATTTTGAGTTATTTATTTAAATAATAGTATATAATATGAATGTATTTGTATTATTATTAATTTAAATAAATATAAGTGAATTAAGGGCAAAACAGACATTTGAGGAAGAGTTAGTGAGGGTGAAGTTGGAAAGCCAGAATTTAAGGCTCAAAGTTAGGTTTAACAAAAAGGAATTTTTAGGGAATTAGGATTCATTCTTGTTAGACCGTGAAAAAGGAAGAAATAGAGGCCAAAGCTCGGAGGAAGAGATTTGAGGCAAAAGCTTCGCAAGGTTTCCAAAAATCAAGGAGAAGGCTTAGAGTCGACAATTAAGGTATGGGAAGTATTGCCTTCATTGTTTTCAATGTGTTTAAAGCTGATTTAAGGGTTTAAGGGTAGAAGGTTTTGTGAGCATTTGTATTGTTGTTGCCTTTTAAGGTGTAAGAGTCTTAAGGGATTTGAACTTATGGTCTGATAAGTTCGAGGTCAATTTGGGTTTGAGGGGAAGTAGGCCTTCGTGGCCAAAATTTGTTGTTGAGGGTTTAACCCTGTAGGATAATTAGATAATGAGTACTCTAATGACTATGGTGTAGTTGTAATAAAATCATGATGAATTGTTGTTAATCCATGAGTAAAACATAACATAATCGAGGTTTAGGATGTTATTTTGATATATAATCGGGTCTAGGGTGATGGGGGTTAGTGGTATAGACTTTGGAGTGATAATCTGGGGTGAAAGTGCTCTTAAAAAAGTGATTTTTGGGGTTCAGAACAATGCGAGTCGACCGCTAGAACCCCTGGGTCGACCTGAGGTCACCCGAATGCAAAATTGTAGAAATTTTAACAGTATGCGTCGACTCATAGCTTTTTGCGTCGACTCATAGCTCAGTGCATCGACCTTTGAGTCGACTCATAGGTAAAAAAAACGCCAGAAACAGTTTCGATCATAACTTTTTAACCGTTAATCCAAATGACGAACTGTTTGAAGTGTTGGAAAGCTAAATGAACAGGGCTATAACATAGTATAGATAAAGGAATTGGGCTCCCAATATTTTTATATCTAATTATGTTTGAGGAGTCAATTGTGTATGTGTTCTATTAATGAATTATGTTCTGGTTAAGTGATGTCTTGATGTTTTGATGTTGTGATTTTCATGATGAATTAATATGAGTATGAATGTGATTTCTATGTGATTAGCACATGATTATATGATGATTCCTATGATGCGATGATGATGAGTTATGACGATGGTTCCATGATTTTTGATGATTTTATGATGATATGATATATGGTGATGATTTTGATGAATGATAATGCACCTATGATGTTATTATGAGGATGATTATTGATGTGTGCATCATGTAATCATGTGCATCCGAACTTCAGTTCAGGACCTTGATTTCTTTGGCTTCAGTCCCATTGTGCAGATGTGAGGTATTTTGATGTGCTCCGATTCTTGTATAGAATATATCCTATTTATGGGGATCTATGGAGGGTTGATGGTCCAGTGTCCATCGAGCTGTGATGATTGGTACCACATGCATGAGTCTTGTTGTATTTTCATTTATGAGATGAT